AAATGACGCTTGTCGAAAAGACGTGTGTAGCCAACCAGGTGCACGTCTTCCCCACCTCAACCAACATTCCTACACAACACAAAACCAAGGGCTGTGTCGTGCACGTATACTCAATCCGAACGTTTTCACCGCACTGCTGCTTGCAGCCAAAAGCACACTCCCGCGCAGCAACCCATCCACCAATATCCATCCACGCACAACGCACTCCGTACGCTTCCTACCAATCACGCACTTTCTTCTGAATTCCAGCCATGTCGCGGGAAAGCGCCAAACTTTAGATGTGTGAACACAAAGGCCTAGCCTTATCTACCCATACCATTGCCCAAACTACCCACTCCTGGTCCATGCCTGCTGTCAACAGGACACGCGAAGTATGACACGCCTGCTTCCTTCCAGATCCGCAAAGCGCGAGCTCACCACGTGTCATTTCCTCCACTGCAATTCCATCTACAGCCCAAAATATCTACAGCCACCGTTCTATCGCGCGCCTGGCCGCGAGACCATGCAGTGCAGCAAACGCCATCTTCCGAAACCAGTGTTTAGGGAAGCAGGCGGAACGCTTCCGCAACTCAGCGAGTATCCCTGCAAGGCGCCCAACGAATGTTTGTCCTCTGCACATATGCGCCATCAGAATGTTCTCACTGCACCTCTGCTTCCATCCAAGCTCACATCCACGCGCTGCAACTTACTGACCAATATCCATGCCCTCGCAACGCCACCCACAGGCGTGAACGCCAACGCACCCCTTGTACAACAGTGAGCACTTCAAGTTATGCAAATCACGTTGACATCGAGTTTCACGCAGCATCCACCGTTAACGCACGTGGGCACGCGCCTTCTTAAAAGTACACACGGAGACCTGGTCACGCACACGAGAGGGCACAGTGCTGGGCCTAGACAACGTTTGGACCCACCTCTACTGTCCACCGTGCACAAGGGCTCCTCGTATCCCAACACGCGTGGCTAGGAAACCAAGAAATCTTCGAGGCATTGTTGATGCTCATTAACAAGGGTCCGTGAGACACCATGCACAGAACGGCCCTGCATATCCTATAAATTTTGGTAAGGCGCGAACTCATGAAGCCATAACTGCGAATCATTTGATCGCCGCAGATGATGGTGTCGAGCCCACAAATGGGCATAAGTATCATCTCTACAAACGGCAGCAAGCTGTGAGGTACTGATAGTCTCTTCCATACTTCTCTGCGGCTCGCCGCAGCCTAAAGCCGACACCTGTACACGCTTTCACATACGCCCAGTGCAGCGTGCAGCGAAGCTCCTGAGCGCTCAAATCAGGCAATGCATGACTGCAAAGCGTCGCCTCTTGCCACTATTAAGTGGCTGAAAGCATTGGCCCAAAATGCTCGCTATCCATCCCCACGTGCACAAGGTACCGCAGGCATGCAATCCTTCACTTCCCGTAGAGCATCTATTGTGTAGTAGAGCATACTTCTCACAATTACCGTGGCACCCCGCAGAGATGCGAGGGTACCCTTGCTAGGTTCGCATGAAGTCAATGCCCAACGAAATACCCGTGAGGTTGTGCGCGCAATGCTGCGAAAGCAAGAGCACTCCCTTGCCTACAAAACGCACACCGGTAGCGAGCACGGCACTGAACTACCAAGCCACCAACTAAACCATGGAACATCGGGGGATACAAATGTAATTCAGGAAACACTAAAAACTGACTAACGAACACGGTGAGCTGCCGCCAGCCGCAGCTATGTCATCTTCACGAAGCAAGTGGATGTTCACCTCAGCAATTGAAATCGTGCAAGCCACACGCGGAAGGGCTTCTCACTCACCATTGACTGCTGATTGCGTTGGAACCAGATAGCCTTGCTTCCGATGACGTCCACAGCCGCATGCTCAAGCCATGCTGGTGAAGGTGCTTGGTGCGTTGCTTTCTTCTTGATGCACTGTGTCTACGCCCATACGAAATTCCCACGCAGGAGCTGAAGGGCACAACATCTATTGGGAACTCGCCTGTGCATCCTGAGAAACACGTAGGGAGCCCCCCAGGCTCAAACCGAACCTCCTAAAGGCGGCAATGGGCAGTCGCAAAGCCTGCCGTGCTGCAGCTTGTCCAGTTCTCTTTACACGGTAACTCACGGAACAAGCGTTTCCTCTTCTCCTGGCAAGTCTCCGGGATGTTACTCCATGATTCTCCGTACTTCTGCCGGACGTCAGTACTCTGAAGCACTGGATAACCAGGAATACCAGAGCAGCGGTGAAGGCGAGCAAAACAACGGTTGCCAAAGCCGCTCTAGTAAGTTTGAGCTTGTGCCTCCCTGTGGATAAGTTTTCACTGTGAATAAGAAACTGAGGCTGTAGCGGTTCTGCATCAAGGCCGGGGATCGTAGCGGGAGACTGATGCCCGTCCCCACTAGGCGCCCCAACATGAGCAAAGGAAGAAAAGGGCACGGAACCATCCATTTTTGAAGATAGCAGTTAATATTATGTGCCTCCGCAAAGAAAAAAAACCGCTGCTATGTCGAGGTATGTTTCAGGCAGTGTTCCTTGTCGGGGCAGGTGTTAAACCGCATGCCTCTTTTGGAGCCTCGACGTTAGCGGCCAGCACTACGGTGGTGCCACCACCTTGCCTCGGACCACGGAGGGGAACACTTACAGATGTCTAAACAATGGATGTAGCAATTAACGTTGATGTAGAATACGATGTAATACTGGGGATGGCGGCGAGCTTTCGTTTGGGATTTCTATCCCCCACGGAAGCTCGCCAATTCAGTGTAGTCTTCTTCCCTGCGTTGCCTAGGGGCGCTCAGCAAAAACGTGCAGTTCAGTTCTCCTAGTTTTTAAGAGATAGGACTCCAAGGGAACTTCAGTAATGAGTAAATAGGAGGAAATATAAGGACACCCACGATGTTCTCATGGGTAATTCGTATCTCGCCGCTGTGGGATACGCGAGAAGCAAACGGTCTCCTCGGACCCACAGCAATGCAACTGCTGACGGTTCGGGGGCATATAACATTGAAAAAAAAGGGAAGTATTCAAAGAGTCCTAAAATTATCCTCCTTTTAGCTCAAGGGAACATGTTTGGAACACTCCATCTCACGATTCTTGTGGGGAGAGTCCGTGATCTCTCCCGGGGGCCGCCGTGAGCAGCAGGTGAGCCGTAGGCCTGTGGGTGCAGCAAATGCAGCATCGACTACTCTAACCAACCCAACCGGTAAAGTTTCAACGCATACTGGCCAAACTCATCGTGCATAACACCTTCTAGTGAGGCGGTGGAAGAACTTACCACCTCCGTTCCTGTGCAGGCAAAAATCTCTGCCCTGCAAAAGGCGGAATGCTGGCATTGATCCCCCTGCGGCCTCTTACGAGCAAAAGACCATCAGGGGCGCTGAGGCACGTGTGTCAACTGCGTCTTGCTAGTGCGCAGCAACGGGGAATGCCGTTGCCACACCCGTGCAGAGAGTTCTAACACTCGCGAAGAACCGTATAAGTCAACTGCGTTAGCGTCGCCCCTTTCAAGAACTCCAAGCAAAGCTCGTCAATTGGTTGCAAAAGATCCGCCTGTTTGAAGAATCACAGACAAAGTCCCCCAATTGAAACACGCCTCCCGCTGCACGTGAAAATGGCATTGTCACTCACTCACGCGCCCTGGTGTAGAAATGCAGAGATTTTTGAATGGTCTCAATTCAGGGCTAACGCCAGCAATACCGCTTGAATACCAAACGTCCAACTCTACACGAGCGTGTTCTAATTTAACGCTAAGAACATGAGTGAAAGAAATGACCTACAAGCGTGAAGGTGACTGGTGTGAAGTGATCTTCCAAGCCAGTACCAGCGCCTCAATCATCTGCTTCATTGCGAAAGGCAAATTCCAAAACATTGACCCTTTACGCATACGAAGGTCAAAAACTGGGAGCGCCAACATGATTGTTAGCGCATCTTTTCTTCCGCGTAGCATAGGCGTAATCACGAAGCGCGCAAAAGCGAAATGAAGAAAACATCGCCAGACGTGCAACTGAAGACCCTTGACTTCTTGAGGATAGTCTACCTTTCTTGGAGTACTTACCTCACGATACGGCACGTGGTAAGACCTTCTCACTGTCATTTACGGGACACCGTGCATCAGGTGCCAAAATAATCACCGCACTCCCGGTGAAGGAGGCATCCGCACGGTGCCATGCTTGCCCCCACCAGCGCAACTTACTGAGAAGTCAGTATGATCACTCAACAGTGTTCCGCTGCTGCAGTTTTCGCCAGCTGCAAGCAGGCGACGAGATGGTAACAATCGGGAAGGTTACTGCATGCCATAAAGACGTGCTCAAATTCCCTGCCGTTGCACTTCGATTTTTAATTTGCCGAGCTAGTCGCTAAATGCTAAGTTATTGAGATTTGAATATCTAATGCAGTATCAAGTAATCCAGTAAACCTTAATTCAAGCGGTGACCCAGCCGCGAAGTCTCGTTCGTGAATTAACCTTGTGTACGTACAACGGTGTGTTGAGCCTATACGTAGATTTTTCGTTTAGTTCCCCTTCAAACAAAGCCAACGTGCGGCACTGGGCAGGTGTCAGCCCCCTTGAATAGGAATTATTATGTCTCGGAGGCGCCTACAACTAATCGCGCGTGCAAGTGGGGGAATCCGTTTGTAACCACAGCTCCTCGCGATACGCTGTAGTTCCTGTGTTCCCTTCGAGCACCCCCGTAGCCCACCAACCCGCAGCCATGCACTAAACCCGCGCAAGTGTAAGTTTTGGTAGTCTAGGCCTCTTCGCGACCTAAGTGCCCTCGTTCTTTTGGCCAGTAACTACGTCGCACGGACCTCGGCCTCTTCGGCAAGCTTCCGTTTATTCACTTTATAGATACGTTGCAGTGTTTTGGAATGTAGGGCCTTGAAACATTGAAGGAGAAAAGGCACCACAGCAAGTAGAGCAAAAAGGGCAAGAGCAAAGGGCGGCTTAATCCTAAATCCTAAATTCTGAAAAACTCTAACACCCGACACCCTAAAACCCCAAAACCGTAAACCCCAAAACCCCAAAACCCTAAACCCTAAACCCTAAACCCCTAAACCCTGAAGCCCTTAACCCTAAACCCCAAACCCTAACCCCCTAAACCCTGAACCCTAAACCTAAACAGTAAACGCCTAAACCCTAATCCGTAGCGGCTCAAACCTTGTGAGAAAGCCGTCAAACTCTACGAATTAAGGCGAACGCCCAATTCGGTGTTATGTATGGCTGTTGGTTATTGATTTGTATTGTTGTATGAAATGGGGGGAAATGCCGTTAGACTGGTTTCATGCTGTATCATTTTAGAGGGGCGTCAGCTAGGCCTGAATATGTACTTTGTAACGCTCCCATGCCGGCTGTATTCATTCGTTTTAACGTATTGTAAAGCGGTTGAAATAGGGTGCTCGCTGGCAACCCTAAAAGGTAAATAATTGGGCCAGGAGTTGGCCGCAAAACAGACTTTAGTACCACTTCCGTAGAGTTAAACGAGCGAAGAGGCCAAAATTTCCATGTTATTTCAATAAAGTGCCCCTTTTTAAAGAGGTAGCACACTGCAAACCGCATGCCAAAAAGTTTGCAGCTAATGAAAGAGTGCCATACAACACTTTTGCCAACAGCGTAGAAAGCCTGTACGCCCATAGGTGTATATTGCCCTGTGCAGAGAAAAGGTTACTGTTGTTTTTTCTATTTTACGCGGGACCTTGTTAGCAGGCAAATTGTTGCGAGCAGTCTTTTGTAAAACGGGGTGCCAGGGTTTGAATCACCCATTGAAGCACCTACTGGAGCGCGTGTTTTTCTTTTTCGGTGCCCCTTTCTGCAGCGCTTAACATCCACGCTCAAGCTCATTATGAGTGCAGCAGAATTACAACTTACTGTCTCAAACTAAGCTAAACCCACCGTGCTAAGTGCCTCACCGTGTGAAAAATGGCATAAATGCATCATTCCAGAGGTGCATGACGAGTTGAAATGGGGATAATTTCTCTTGCAACGGCATTTCCGATCTCCGCTCGCACCCGTCCGGAGTAATGCTACGATCCATAATGTGATATTTATCTATGTACGGGGTAACCATACACACCAACCTAATAAGCACACACACAATCTAAGGGGACGGCGTTCTGCGTCATTCCATGACTGTATTGCACAACGGAATCCAGCCTTCATATCTTGCGGGCATTCATGTTGCAACCATGCTACCACGAAGGGGATTCATCGTGTCCAGAGACGCAACAGCTGCAATATTCCTCCACATGTGAAAATCCTGCGTGTAAAAAGAGAGAAAACTACAGAATCCTCCAAGTTTACACTGACAAATTTTTTTGCGCTTTGCCAAACCAGCCTTGCGAAGTACCTACAACTCTGTCCTTACACCTGGACAACGCACCGCATGGTGTACATTCGCGACTGTAGATCGCATTCTGTGCTTGGTTTGGCGGTGCCGGAAAGGTACTTCTTGCTCTTTAAGCAGATCGCAAAACTCTGAATATATAATGGTCTCTTGGTAGAATCGACGGTGAATACAAATCAGAGAGCGCAAGCTCACCAGTTCTCACAAATGCTACCGTAAACCTCACGACCCATACCCAGTCCTCTATCCCCCTTCGGTGCCCAAAGGAAAGCGGGTAAGTTGCAGGATTTGCATAATTCCACTGAAACGAGTCCGCTGTAATAATAACTTTGGGTGGAATGCGTCCCCCCGCTCGACCAACATTCGCAACGGCGCACTTTCAAAGCCTGCCATGGATACCCGATGCCCTAGGTAAAAAGCGTTACCCTTCAGTGCCATTCGCTATCTTTCTGCTCCCCCGGATCACTGTCAAACCTGCTAAAGCTGCCAAAACATTTTTTAGTCGTCAAGTAGTCGCCTGAACGGGCAATAATTCTGCCCGTTCAGGCGCTGTTTTACAACGGATTCGCATGAAGGGATTTGCCCGTAACGAGTATGCAGGCCACCAAATGCACAAGAACTTCAGTATATAGTGAGAAAAGAGTTGAAATTGCGGTACCTGAAAAAGAAAGCTTTGCATTGCCCGCATAGCTGAGCATGCATGCACCTTCTGCTCGAAGTGTCTCTTCTGGGATAAAGGGACCCACCCCAAGAGCGAAATACGCAGGTGCACATCACATCAGCAGATGCTCATCAGACAGACTAGCGCGCGGGATACTACGAGGTACCAAAAGATCAGCAACAGCATACATTTGCTAGCGCTGCTGTTTCGCCTTGACACGTATACTGACCATTGCGCGTTCGCTGGTGCAAAGGCGGTGGACTGGCAATGCCGAGCGGCTATACACAACGCCTCCATGCTTCCCGCACCTCATTCTCCATGTTTACGCCCATCCAGACTGACCATCCGCCTTGTAGGCTACAATGATGTAAGGTACGTCAGCGGCTTCCTCCTCCAAGACTGCTGTTTACTTCACTTTACCAGATCCTTCATTTGCCTCTGTGCCATTTTGTAGCACGTAAAACTTTTCAAGTCTCGTTACAATCTTGCTGCTTTGGCCTAGTTACAGCTCAAAGCCCGTTTGGTAGCCAAGTAGCTGATATGTCCATGTGCTTCAAGAGTCTTGTTTCGTTGGCACTCACAGATTTATGCATGTGTGACAAAGGAGTTGCAGTGCGAAGAACGACAGATTGATCAAATTGATTTATAGGGTAATTACCGGTGTTTGAGCCTGGGTTGCCGGAGTAAGCGCGCTCGGCCAGCAACAACGAAGTGGAGATAACCATTTACTATTTGACTAATTTACATACACTTCAACGCTCGTGCGTATCAGGATGGTCTGGGAAGAACAAGAAAGCAACCGCTGACGGACCCCAGTTCCTCCTGCTGCTTGCCGCACAGCACTCCTGGGAACCTGTTGCTTACATGGTTCCACTTTCAACCGGTCGCTTGGCTCTCTTAACAGGCTTACCTACCTGGTCTCAGAGCACTAGATCCCTCCAAGCCTTGCTTTGATGTCCAGTGTTAGGCTTTCCAGAGGCAAATAAAAAGTATGAAGCGATAGTATGTTCATCGCGAACGCAACATGCCTACAGCTAGGTGAGTATTAAATCAAATAGAGCTGCCATAGAGTGTACATGCCACGCATAAAGGATGGGACACAAGCGCAATATCACTTCCTTTAAATATAGCTCAGAAGCAGCGCACGCGCCCAGAAAGCCTCATTCCATCGACTACAGGGAACGAGAAAAACTGAACCCAATGAAACCCTTCACTGCATACAAATAATCGTTCGCTTCACTCTAGATACCTTTCATGAACACTCCGGATACAGCAAGAGTCTGAGTACACTGTACTTCACTTTGTTCCGCATGTCCAAAACGTTTTCATTGAAATCTAGGCACAGCTGCCGTTTTCCTGTGAGGCCTCCCTGCGATGTAGGCGGTCAACGGTATACACTTAGCAGAAACATTTATGGCTTCAAGCGTATTGAGCTATTAAATAATGCTAAATAGCTATAGTGCTACATCGTATGTGAAGTGCCCATAAGTGGACGCGCCGGCGTCCACGGGAATGCGGGAAGCTGGCGAGATAGCCTGCCAGACAGAATTCGAGGATGTCGTGGACCGTTTGGTATACATATATTCATGGTATTTTATGATAGACATTTGATCTAAAAGAAACAAGTGTTACAGCTCCGTTCAATGGCGATACCGCTGGAGGCAACCAAGTAGCGCCTGCGGTACACACCAATGGTTCGGCGCGGCAGAATTCCTGCGTCCAAGGCCGAGGCATCAACGCTTGCAATGAATTCCGAGTGTCATATCCTTGACAAATTACTCTTCTTTGCCTGTTTTGAGCAACATCTCCTCTTGAAATTCCTCGGGGGCTCATTGCACCAAATCGTTCGACGCACGTTCGCAATCGGATCCACCGACGGGCCACAGACAGATTGAAGCGATACTAAGCTGCGGCTAAAGACGAGGTAAGATAAAATTCCTCTTTTGCAGTTGTTGCAATTAGCTTCCCTTGTTGCTCAATGGGCGGTTGCGCCACTCTAGAGATGCAAAGTTCTAGAGCTGCAAAGTTTCGTAGTCTTTACGTCCCTCTGGCGACATCTGCATCCCATGTTCTCAATTGCCTCTTCGTTTTTTGCATTTAGAGCTTTTTCAATCTGAATTTCAATGTTAGAATGCGTGTAATCGTCCTCTCCTGCCCGCTGGCTTGCGTGCGTGAAGAGGTTGAGCTGCTACCGGTAGGCACATTCACAAAATTTATAGAAGTGGCTGCACGTGGCTCTGCTGTGCGTGCCTTTTCTCCTCAGATAAACTGTCCTTAAAGTCCCTTCAAATAGGGTAAAATGGCGGACGCGAAGGAGAAATTGGCGCGTTTCACGAGTTGGTTGGGTTTGGCTTGTGGCGTGTTGTCTGTTGTTGTATTCTTCTTCTTGATGCCTGCGGTATCGCCGCGTGTCGTTGTATACGATGAAAGTTTCACAAAGGACTACAACCGTTACACGTGGCGCTTCGCGATGTTTTCGTTTGTGCCTGATGTGTTTGTTGACATTTGGACGCCGTTTGTTATGGGAATGATATCAATTTTCTGCCACTTTGGGGAGTTCAACTTTGACTGGATGTGCAAAACCTATGCACATTTCTTTGTCTGGAACTTCGTTATGGCCCTTTTTGGCCAAATCGGATACTCGGGCATCATAGGCATCATCGCCAGCGCCTTCACTCTGCTCTGCACTCTTCTCAGCCTTATTTGTGCCTTCCTCGTCAAGGATCAAAGCGCCAAGCTGCAGATCACGCAGCAGAAATGAGCATAGCAAAAATGAACAAAAACAAAAGACAACCAAATAATATACAGAGTTGGACGGCTGTGCAGTACGAAGAAGACATGCACACCGAGACATTTATCTCCGCAGTGCTAGGCGCCTCAATTCGCCTCCCGCATAGTGGCGTGAACGTCGCTGCCCTTTTTCATAATTTATGCTGTCTATTCGAAGGACAGCTGCCACAAATTTAGAGCCGCCGGCTAGCTAGCTAGCTAACTAGCCAACGAGGTGTCCAATAATCCACGGGCAGGGAAGGCTTCTGCATTTCTGCCGAGTTCCAGCTCCCGGCAACTGCAGTCGCACTTCTTGGTCTTATGGATGGTATTTCTGCAATTTAAAACATTGCCAAAACCATGATTATCTATTTGAAAAGACAACCATTATGAATCACACGGGGGAAGGAATTACTACTGTAGCCGATGAAAACTGAACCGATACGGGCTACCGCCCTTCCACCTAGCAAGAAGAAAGCATACAGTAAAATAGCTGCCCGCCGCTCATGAACCTAGGGGTGAAAGAGGTGCAGTCGAACTGCGGTGAACCCTTTGTGTTTAGCTGTTCACGTGGATTGTAGAGCTATTCGATCCATAATTGTCTGCTGGTACCTCTTCATCCCTATAGTCAGAGGTCCCAATCCCATCCCAATAAATCGGAATACACATGAACGGCAGAGACTTCTGCCAGTATATTGTGATAAAGCGGCTGCAGCCGTAATGAAGATTCAATGAACGCTGCGCCTGCTACAAACTCATAAGGTTAAGGGAGCGTAGCTTGTAGGCTCTTCTTCGCTCATTCAAAACAAGCAACCGCCCTGCGAGAACGCTTCTTGCCCATCAGTTTCAGCTAGAGAAGAACTGAAAAAGTCCTGCCTAAACAGTAAAGCTAAGCCCTTGATGCACAGAGCTAATGACTAATGTGGTAATCGAAAGCGTGCTGGATCTTTTCTCTCGAACGGAACACAAACAGCTTCCGTGTTCCGCAGATTCCGCCTCTTGCGCCACTAACAGTGAAAAACAGGAATTATCGTGTTTGTTCGTTTGGTTGTTTGCATATCAATCCGTTCGTCGTTTTTCAACTGTTCATCGTATCTGTTGCTTTATCTACCCCTCTGCGTTTCAGTTGTTAGGCTTCTCTGCGTACGAGATTCAGCCGTCTGTGCTGCAGCGGCGAATACTTGCACGACAGATCGCCTTTGATGAACTTCTCCTTTTTCGATTCGCCATAAAAACCAACTTATTTTCCCTCCTTTCACATTTCCGTCAGTCTAATGTTATCGTCTCGTCGCCCGCGTACATCTGCCGCCACTCCCGAGCTGCGCTCACAGCCAAAGAACAAGAACAGCTTTCGCCATTTGCCTTGCCGGGGACAGCCTTAGACCAGTACATTAATGGTTATCACTTGTGCTACATTAATGTTTGATTTGATTAGGCCCTTTCCCTATCGCAACCTGCACATGTCGCTCGATGGTGTCCTGTAATCATCATATTTCTAAGTGCATGGGTCATTTGCCTGTCTCCTGTCTTTGCGCATCGTAAAGATGTAACTACGTTTCCTTTTCTCTTGTGTGTACCGCTCCATCGTCCTGCCTATCTGTTCCCGTGCAGTATGCAACTAGCTCTTTCTTCTCCCTCAACCGCCACCACACGACTCATAACTCAACCTCCGCTAAGCTATTAGTCTGTTAGCGTCGCATGGTGCACCACTGCACACCCCCCTGTGCTCTTGTATCCGTCTCCCAATCTATTTGCGGTGAATGTGCGCACCTCTTTCTTCTGCGGCTTGTCGATCATGCTTGAAATGATCCGCCACCTTCGTGTCTAGAGGGTCGTCGGGTTCAGGGGCCGAAAGGAGGGCCTGTACAGACAACAGCACCGTCCGAATCTGCAGCGCGGGGCTCCACTTGTCTTTTAAAATGTCGAGGCAAATGCGCCCCAGCGCGTCCTGCTCAGTGAACAAAAACGCACACACACGCGCGCACGCACGCATACACACACAAACATATATATATATATATATATATATATATATATATGTTTGTATAGCGAGGGGGAAACAGAAAGACAGACACTGCCAAAGGGGAACTGTAAGAACCCGGAAGGAAACTGACAAAACCCTTACAAATTCACCCATAAACTTAAGGTTCAACATATGCAACCATTATTGTGGCCACTTGACACATCACTGGATCTCGCTCGGTCCTGTTAGATTGCGTATTGCATGCTTTTGCTGTTCTAGCCATCGTCTGGGGGCTAAATCCCCTCTTAGACCTTAACACAACCAATAAAGTCATTGAAATTAACACCAAGAAGAACGAACAAACACAGACGAGCTGCATGCAGTGAACGACTGGCTCGACAGCGAAACCTCATCTGTACATTAATAATAATACAGATGAGGCTTCGCATAATAATAATTATCGGCAAATAAAATTCAGTGACTTTGCGTATATGTTCCCTGATATTTTTATTATCTAATTCTTATCAGTAACTGAGTGTTGAAGGAAATACATTATTTTCCTGCATGCCTCCCAAATCGATGAACAAACAGGAACGACCTGTTCTTGCGCGGGGAGGAGCAGCACAGGGCATTCTCTATGTATCGGACGACAACGATCCACGAATACAAACCACAATAATAATGTGGATATAAACAAGTAATAGTAATAATCAGAAGGTATTTTTGCCTACGATATTGGGATGATATATCTTTGTAAGAAAGCGAACTTTTGGCGGCTCCATTGGGTACTGCTCAGGCAGAAAGAGCTCAAGACGGTAGCGCCCTCCTGCACGAAAACCCATCGCATTTCGTTGAAATGCACGAAACAGAGCAAAATAAAGGGAGAAAGGTAACGTAAACTGGTCAAATGATTCAATATAAACGCCAACGAAGTACACGACGTTCAACAACCACCCCAAATTCAAAAAAAGGGATGTACTGGAGGTGGCGAAGGCGCCTGGCCCTACCCACCACTTCACTCCTCACGCCGACTCAGTTGCTCTTCACGAAGAACAATACCCCAATAAATGCATGCATGCACGCACACTGGCTGACCGACGCACACTGAATGCATGTATGCATTCAGTGTCGAAAAGGAGGGCGAGGGCGATAGAAGACAGTGAGCTCCCCACCTTCGTACGGTGTGCCAGCGGGTCCCGTCATTATAATTTTAAAGTAGCGATAGTTAGAAGGGTCAGGCGCCGCCTCAATGCCCGGAGCTGCAAGGGAAAGGCAACAGCCAGGAGAAACATCAGCTCATAGTTGTGAAAGGAAAGGAAGGAGTGAATTGACGAATCAGAGAAAAACAGAAGGAAGGGAGTAGAAATACACAGAGGGAAATAATCGCCGAAAGGAGGAGAAATAAAGAGAAAGGCTTTGCATCCATGCAAGAGATGCATCAAATGCCCGCAATCCGTTGCCCTCTCCACAACAAAAGGAGGCGGCAGCAGCGGAAGTTGGACCTCCTGACGAAATTTATTTTTAAAACAATAAAAAAAATAGTGAATAAGCAGAAAAGAAAGAGAAATAAAGAGTGATCGAGAAAGGATGAACAACAACAGGCATCGGCACCGTATCCGCATACAGAAAGCAGCATATAGCGTTACGTATGCATGTGTGTATTTGCGTGTTTGAGTTTGTGAAAGCAAGCAAATGCCATTAAGATGAAATCAAAGTAATGCCGAGAAAACGCATATTGAGAAATAACAGATCCCTCTGCTGAATACATCGGCACCACTAAATCACTGTTCCTTTTCTTCTTTCCGTGACGCCATTTCCCCTCTACTTCCCCCCTCTGCCACTCTCCCGCTCTTTCTCTACTTCTCGATTTTCCGTCACATTGCTCCTGTTTAGTATTTTTCTCCTCTTCCTGCTGTTGGTCTCTTTTCTATCAACCGCTCCTTCCCTTACACCTTTTCCCCTTCTGTTTGCCTTTCTTTGCCTTATCGCCCGCCCGTCTGGTGTACACAAAGCAGGAGAAATGCACTTGAATAAAAAGTGTGTTGACTTACGGGGTTCGCTAGCGAGGTTGTGTGTTTCTTTCTGGATGCGCTTAGGAACGAGCATCATGCTGCGGCGCTGCCTTGGCCTGGCAGGGCACGGGAGAGAGGAGCTGTTACTGCGACGAAAACGATTAAAATATTAAAAAGAGAAAAGGAAAGAAATATAATTCGAACTATAGAGCAAAAAGAAGAATATTATGTCGGTCAGATGGATGACAGTGAAGGCGATCGGATCGGAGAGAAAAAAAACAAAAAGAACAGAACTAATTATACCGAACACCCCAAGCTAATGAGGCATCAAAACATCAATTTTTATGGCTATTTTCCTTTTTTAACGTTTATATTCCTTCAATTTCACAAAAAGAGGGAAATTTGTGCATTACACTACACACTCTACTCCTACCACAGCCCCCCAACTTGAGTGCCAGCACTACAGTGGCGGCCGCAGGCGTCAACAGGCAGCAGAACGACGAGAGCAGAACGCATTTAAACTAAAAAGTAGTAATATTAATTGTTTTTAGTAGATATAATACACAAAAGGAATGCTTTCCGTTGATAAAGAATCGTATGGTGAAGACAACAACTGCCATGCCCGTAGCTAGCAGCGCCTCAGTATGTTCAGCACTGCAAAGTAGTGGGGGGCTGTCCGTAAAAGCAGGAGAAATAAACCCTCAATTAACTTAAAACCATTACACAAAGTGAAGCGATGTATGGAAATTCCAAGTGGGTGTTTGTTGCTTTATTGCTAGTGCTAGCCGGCCTTGCGGAGTCTTTATGCTTTTTGTATTGTCTGTCTTAACCCAAAAGCATGATCTGTCTTGAATTGTTTTCCGTTTTCCTACTTGCATGCAGAGCGCCTATGGAAGGGCAAGTGCGTGCTCAACAACTAATTAATGTTCTCCTGCATGCAGCAGAGGGGGACCTGTAGGATACACTTGCATTTGGAGTGGCTTGCTGCTGTCTTGCAGCAGCAGTTGTAGCAACCCT